TTTTTAAAAAATCTTATTATTAAAAGACTTGAGAAACTAAATGTTTTTTATATAAAATGGGAAGTGGAGGGGGAAAGCATTTATATAGCGCTTATTATGTGCAAGGCACTTTACAAAGATTATCTCACTTGATCCTCACAATAACACTAAGCGGTAGGTGCTATTATTATCCCCATTTTACAGTTGAGGAAACTGAGGCAGATAGCAGTTAATTGATTTGCCAAGAATAAGTCAGTAAATGTCAAAGGTTGAATTTGAACTCAGGTCATCCTGACTTCAGGCCTCTTGTACCACCTAGCTAAAATAAAATGTTTGCTCAATTAATAGGTACTATTTTTATTTTGACATCTAAAGATAACATGAATAAATTAGGGCAATGTAATAAGATTCTAAATGTGAAGCCTTCATTTAAGAAAAAAAAAGGTTTGGTGACCATGAAAATATTAAAATATCAAAATTCCATAGTATATTTGGCTTCAAAAATAAGAGAATATGACTCAAAATTCTTACATTTTGCTAATAATAAATTGTCACCAAGTCAGAGATTATGTTTATGAGTTTTGTGGCGTAATTTTAAAATGCCTCCGTTTTAACTCATTTTTCAACCTGGCATGTTCTTGGAAATCATCAATAAATATTTATTAGGCATTTGCTATGTGCCAGGCACTGTGCTAAGTACTAAGTATACGTATAAAAGAGGAGGGGAGTAAAGTCCCTGCCTTGCCATGTTCATGGGAGTTCACATTTTTAGGAGGGAGACAAGACAGGAGAAGTACAGCCATCTGGGAAGCTCTAAGTTGCTGCCTTCTGCATTCTCTCTAAGTGAAGGATCCAGAAAGAACTTTCCACTGCTTCCAGCCTCTACAATTATCTCTCTTTTTGGAGTTAGAATAATTGACATTTCAAATGGTGGTATGCTGAGCATTTTCAAAAATGTATTACATTGGTTTATTAATATCACATTAAAATAAAAGAAGAAACAATGTTACAATTTAAATATAATTATGGATAATTATGTCTTCTTCAGAATTTCAAATACAGGTCTTATCTAAAAGTAAATGGTTATAACCTAAATATACTCAAGTTGTACATATGTACAATTATATAACACACCTTTAAAAAAAAAGGGATGATTTAAATAATTGGAGAGATATACAATGCTTGTGCTTAGGCCATGTTCATATAACAGAGGTGACAATGGCACTTGAATGTAGACCTGATGTTATTATAACCATACTATGATGTAGCACTTTATAAAAGTAGACGAAATAAAATTAATTTGGAAGAATTAAAGGGCTAAAGTCTCAAGGGAAATAATTTTTAAAGTGGGAATGTAGAGAGAATAGAACTTTCAGACTTCAAATTAAATTATTTATCAAAAGAAATATTTTGCATGGAAACACTTATGTGAACTGATGCAAAGTGAAATGAGCAGAAGTAGGAGAACATAATATATAATAACAGCAATATTATATGATGATCTCCTATGAATAAATTAGCTATTTTCAACAATACAATGATCCAAGACAGGGCTTATCATGAAAAGTGCTATTCATCTCCAGAGAAACAACTGGTAGAGCCTCCACGTAGTTCAAAGATACTTTTTATTTACCTTATTTTTCTTGGGTTTTTTTGTCTGTGTTTTCTTTCACAGATTGATTTACATGGAATTGTGTTTTGCATGACTACATGTGTGTAACCTGCATAAAATTGCTTGCCTTCTCAATGGGCTGGAGAGTCAGGGGACTCAAAATTTAAAAAAAAAATAAATAAAAAAGAATGTTAAAATCATTTTTATATGTAATTTAGGAAAAATAAAATATTAAATAAGGTTTTTTAAAAAAATAAATGTTTTATAGTGGTCTGAAATTAGAAAAATAGATAAATAGAAAATTCTATATCAGACTCAATAACCCAATGTTTAATAAACTTGTGAATATAAATTACTTGGAGAAGAACTCCCTATTTGGCCAAAACAGCTGGGAAAACTGAAAAGTAATTTGTTAGAAAATTATTTTTGATCAATATTTTTTGCCCACATACCAAATAAACTCAAAATGGGTACGTGACATGTATATAAAAGTACACACCATTAAAAAATGGAAGAGAATCAAACCAGTTACATTTCACAGATGTGGCTAGGGATGTTAACCCAAGGATAGAAGCGAACACAAAAGATGAGATAAATTTTGGTTATATAAAATTAAAGCTATTATACAAACAAAATCAATGGAACTAGAATAAAAATTGAAACTGTCATTTGGGAGTAGTATTTGTATGTTATTTCTAAGGGTTTGATATCCAAAAAGTACAGGAAGTTTTAATTATCTAGAGCACTAAGAAATTAAGTGACTTCCCCAGGGTCACAAAATCAGTATGTGAACTCAAAGCTTCCTGGCTTCAAGATGAGCTCTCCATACTCCATGCCACACTGCCTTTTACTAGAGAAGTAGCACAAACATATAGGGCCAAGAGCAATTATACAAAAGACAAGTGGTCAAAGAACATGAGCAAATTGCTATCAAAAGAATTACAGAGTAGTAATAACCATTTGTTAGTTACACTACTAATGAAAGAAATGAATGCAATTAAACAGCTTTGAGGTTTCACTTCAAATCCAGCAAACTGGCAAAAGATGGACAAAGTCATTATTGGAGAGCTGTGAAAAAGGCACTCTAATTCACTGAGCTTTCAATTTGTCCAGTCGTGATGGAAAGTAATTTAGAATTTGAACTTAAATGCCTATACTCTTTGGCCCAGAGATTTCACTGCTAGTCAAATAATCCCAGGAAAGTTAGAAATATAAAAAAAGTTTTTATATATAACAGCAGTACTATTTGTGGTAGCAAAAAATTATAAACAAAAATAGGTGTATATTAATTGGGGAATGACTAAATAAATTTTATATGTAATGCAATAAAATATTAGTGTATCATGAGAAATAAAAAAATAGTAAGGATTCAGAGAAGCATGAGGAGACTTATTTGAAGGGATCTGAGTGAAGTGAGCAGAGTAAGGAAAACAATATGCACAATGACTACAATGATATAAATGGAAAAACAACCCAAAAAAAAGATATTGAAAGCTATATAATTGTAGTGTCAAGCGTGGCTCTAAAGAAAAAGTTGAGAAAATACACCTTCTCCTTCCAGAGATGGGAAACTCTTGGCATGAAATATTCAGATACATGGTCAATCTATTGTTTGGTTTTGCTGACCTGCTTTCTCTGTCTTTTTTAATTGTTTCTTAAAGGGATGGGCCACAGGGTAAAGGTGAGAATAAGCAAATATTTGGAAATGAAGGTAATATTAAAAAAACAAAAGATATCAATAAAAACAAGATAAAAATAAATTCTTATCTTGTAAAAGTGATTGTTTAATAATACATCATAAAATGTCGTATCCCCCTCTTACATGATTTTCAGTCCTATTTGTTTCTTGATAATCTGTAGAAATGTGTTTCCGATTTTAAATTTCATTCCATTATTCTCAAATGTCAGAATGCATGAAACTGAATCAGAAGGGAAATATGCACTATGTTCACATTTACTTAATTTTTGAAATGAGAATATATCTTGTTTACTATCCTTTCTCATAAATTCTTTGTCATTTTCTGTTTGTTATTCTCTTACCTCTTCATTAATAAATGGATCCTCTGTTAGCAAATAAATGCAATCTTGATTGATCAAAATTCCATAATAGCCATTGTAAAAGTTTTTGTTATTGTTGTTAAGTTGTGTACAACTCTATGCGACCGCGTGGACTTTTGTCCATGACATTTTCTTGGCAATGATGCTGGAGTGGTTTGCCATTTCCACCTCTAGTGTGCCCCCATTTTACAGATGAGGAACTGAGGCAAATAAGGGTTAAATGACTTGCCCAGGATCATACAGCTTGTATCTGAGATCAGATTTGAACTCAGATCTCCCGACTCCAAGCCCAGTGTTCTATCTGCTGCACCACTTTGTTGACCATAGGAAAAGTAGTTTTGACCAAGATGCAAAAAGTATGATATCCCTATAAAGTCAGTATCTTAATCATTTTGTAATTTTACAATTTATCATCATAACACCATCAGTCATGGCACATAATGACTTCCTAAAGTTGAAGATATTATTATTCATGTAGATATACTGAGCATAACATTGATTATATAATTTTACAATAATAGGATTGGGATAAGAAGTATAGGAAACTCTTGGATGACAAAATTCCTTCTCACAATAAAGGCCTACACCTTCCCTGTTACTTAGTGTCTTAAGAGAGTCACCTAGAGCACTTAAAAGTAGAATGACTTGCCCAGGGTCACAAAACCAGTATGTGTCAGAGAAGAGATTTGAACCTGATCAAGTCTTTCTAGCTTTGAGGCTAGTTAGTTCTCTATTCACTACAGTATTCTGACTCCCTTTATAATAATGACGATCATAATTATAACCAAACACAATAATTATGTAAAAGCCCAATGTAACATCATTCAGGCATTTGCCAAAGGCACAAAATGAATGTTTAGCACTGATCTGAGCTAGTATTTGGAAAGAATCAGTAACAGTTTGTCCTCTTAGCATATCTTCTTCACATCACCATGTTGCTTAATGTGAGTACATACCAACCAGTTCTGTAGAGCTTCTATGGTGTTATTTCACCCAAATTCGTATTTTAATGGAAACAATTAATGACATAGGAGTTGTCTATATGTTAGATGCTTTCCAAATCCAGATCCCTTCTGTGTATAGCTGTAACTGACATGATGGTGAACAGCCTATACCAGTGCTTTTCTAATCACCTATCCTTGGCTCAGCTGTTTTATTTCACAAAGATTCCAAGTGAATCAACTTTTGCATTTAGTTAATTCTTGCTTTAGAACTTGCAGGAATGAATGGAAGTGACTTTGTACAATGTTGAAAGTGTCACCAAAACAGTAACAAGAAAAACAAGAATCAGTTTAAATTGAACTTTGAAAATGTATAAATCATTCATACATTCTCTTGTTTTTCCTGGCAGATATTTATATGCCCTTGGACAAAAGGTTTGGAAAAGGTGGAAAAAACGATACTTCGTTCTTGTTCAGGTTAGTAAAGTTTTCTCATGTTTCAATTACTTCTAAGTAACCTAGTATATAACAACACTAAAAAATGAAAAAAAAACCCTACTTATTTAGTCAAGTTTTTAAAGAGGCACATTTTTTTAAATGTTCATTTAAACATGCCCAAGACAGTCTGTTCAGCTTCTTAGTGACAGGAAAATATTTTGGACTGTAGTGTTTTAGGATTCTGAAGGCATACTTAATACTTGAATGTATTGGATTTTACTATTTTATTGTATATTTTATTTGCTTTTCTAAAATGTACTCCCCTTAAATGAAATTAATTCATTTTATAGGAAGGGTCTCTATCAAAATAGTGTTGTCTAAATTACCGTTCTGTGGTAAAGTTTGAACATTACGGCTCCCAAAGGAAATACATTTCAGAAGAATCACATATGGAATTACTAGCTTAACTACATAACCTCAAAAATCATGTTTATTCCCATGCTACTGGTCATCTGTATCATATAGATATCACTTTAGTGCAAACAAGGAGAAAGGAAGAAATATTGTTTTCTGTGGCAACATTTATACCATCTTGTGACTGCCCCAAGAAAAATGATTTGGTCTTTTTCTACCTGACCCTATAACAGTTGATTGAAAAGTACAAAACTCAGTAAATCAAGAGTAGTTTGGTTATACAGTGCTTTACAACCTGATTGGTTTTTCTCAATACACGGACTGGTTGTTCTATCATGTCATTTAACTTCACATTGGAAGATGAGGGTGGAATGTACTGATTACTAAGTCATAAATCTAACCACATTATAGTTCACATTGATTCCCTGTCTTATTCCTGTTTTTTCTAATATTTCATCAGAAGAAATGAAATTTAAGCAGTAATTTTTATTATGTTGTCTAACCCCAAAGAAGTAGTATGGCATAGTGGCTAGACTATTGGACTCAGGAAGAGCTGCATTCAGATCTACCTCTGAGGTTTATTTACCATCACTTTGATCCTCTGACAACGCTCTAAGGCTGTCCTTTGAATTACAGCTGGTTTGTGATCTGCTGAAGTAGAATAAGTCCCCACATTGATTAAGTCATAGATTCTTGATGTCTTGAAGAATCCTACTAAAAGATAACTTAGAAATGAGAATAGTCCATGTCCATGGGAAATTTTCTTTCTCTTCTTGATTATTGATATACTAAAACATTTTTCCAAATATACAAAAGTTATATGTGTGAAATTAAATTTGCTTTTCATATATGTGTATACATACATATGAAATTAAATGTACTTTTATATCCAGTAATTCCATTTTAGACATCACAATACTGAACAAAACATGCCTATGGGTGATATCTTTCTCAAATAATTGAATCATATTTGGGTCATATGTAGATCTTATTTACACATGCATACACATAGAACAGGGCTTAAATATACTGAGGTTGTCAGTAGACAGTAATCAGAAAACTTGCTAAAGTTATAAGAACAATTGAAAACTTCCCCACAATTCCATTTATAATGAAAAACCAAATTGAATACACACTTTTTCAAAACCAGGGTATAAATGCATGCAGGTCTAACTAGAATAGCCCATTGGGGAAACTGGGTAGTTTATATTAGCGTGTTTAAAGACAACTCTCCTTGTATCAGCACACAGCTTGGAGGCCGTCCTAGCAGGTTGCATTATTGAAAGGTGAAGGAGTCATTTTTAGTAGGGAGGACAGTATACCCCTGCTGTGTCTGCTGCTGCCATCGGCAGGATGGTGCTCTAGTGATAATGTGAATCTCATCACCACTTGTGAGTGTGTATTATGTGAGTGATATAGCTGGAGATCCTAGCCATCAGCCCAAGAATTTTGCACCCCTAGAAATTGATTGAGAGTAAGAATCTTCCTGCTGCACAGTTGTTATTCGAAGTGAACTCTAAGAGCTAAGAAAGTGTAGACTTTTCAAATACTCTCTGCTACAAACATTTAAATTAAAAGCAAATGCTAGAATAGGGGAGGGAGAGAATGAGGGGAATGTTCTCATTTATGAGTGTGGGAAATGTACCTATAATTTAAGTCAATGCAGTTAGTTCCTAAATAAAAGTAGATACAACCACAGCTTCTTCCTATCTTTTGTCCCTATTTCTCATGTATTCTGAAGATATACTGTAGTATTAAGAAGTGTATTTTAGTATTTCAACTAAAATCAGAAAATTATAAATAGAGAATAAGAGTTTTGCTTTAAAATGGAGTCAAAGGTTTGATTTTTCCATAGTAAATACTATGATGGAGAAGATTCCAAGACATTTTAGCAGGCTTATTCATTTTTCTAGCAGTGATTTAATGTGCTTGTGTAATAATAATAATAATAATAATAATAAAGTTAGAGCAGATGAGGAGAACGAGTTACCCTGATATCACTTATGATAATTTTAAATTTAATAATATTTAAATATATACTTTAAAATTTAGATTTTTAATTTATTTGGATTCATCTCAACAGTCATAAAATATCTCAATATCCTCTTTTTATAGTTGTAATTGATCAAGAAGAATAATTCCTAATGATAATTGCTTTTTTGATCCATATTTAACAAGGTCCCTAAGCACATTCAGGGAAGGCAAAAGATGTAGTAGAAAAAGTACTAGATTAGAAGTCAAAGAATGGGAGCTTGAATCTCACCTCTGGCAGCCGCCTGTATCCCTTGAAATGGCTTTGGGACATCAAGGCAGTGAAAGCATTTGTCCTTTATTTAGCATGTTTTTACTTACACAAAGGAAGACTCAAAGTCTAACATGAGGAACGTGGAATATGGAGGAGGGGATGGAGAGGTGAGGAGGATGGAGATAATTTGTCATATAAATCTCTTCATGATCTAGCCCCTTCCTACACATTACTCCTCCATCTGTCCTACTCTCACCCCTACCAAATACACTGCTATCCAATGACATTGACCTTCTTTCTATTTCTCAAACAAGAGATTACATCTCCCAACCTGTGTGTTTACCTCAGCTGTCCCCTGTGCCAAAATTCTCTTCTTCCTCATCTCTATTTCCTAGCCCCCTGGCTTCCTGTCTAAAATTCCATCTTCTACAAAAAGTCTTTCCCAGTTCCTTTTAATGCTAATGTCTTCCTTCTATTAATTACTTATAGTTTATCTTGTATATATCTTATTTGTACACACAGTTGTTTGCATGTTGACTTCCCTGTTAGACCATGAGCATCTTGAGAGCAAGGACTGGTTATTTTTGTTTGTTTCTGGGCTTTTTCTTATATCTTCATTGCTTAGCACAGTGCCTAACACATAGTAGATGCTTAGGAAGTGCTCATTGACTTGACTTGACTAAGGGAAGTTACAACAAAGGCAGTTTACTGGACCTCAGACTTAATGGTCTTGAAGAATTTGACAAGAAAGAAAAAGGAACTTCAGTGATAGTCCTGAGGAAAGGCAGCTCTTCAACCTGGGTGGTGTACTCCATTTCATATCACTCCTAATTAGTGTGAGATATAGAGTTGTTAAAACTAGGACAACTAGGGTAAATCAGCCAACACATCCCAACTAGGATGTGAGGCAATGAAGTTTTACAATTTCTTGAAAAGGTAGAGAGGATCCAGAGGTAGGAAGAGGAGATAGAGGCAGTCTGTCATAAGAGGAACTGTACCCTGCCCCCTTGCCCCTGCAAAATATATGTATGCATATACACATACACATAAACATGCATACATACACATATCTTATATACACGTACACACACACATACACATATATGTATGTATGTATGTATGTATGTATGTATGTATGTATGTGAATAGGTTTTTTGGACCACCACAAACTCACTTCTGATTTTTGAAGCTCATTTTCCTTAGCTATAAAATGGTGATAACAGCACTTATACTTCCTTCTTCGCAGAGCTGTTGTGAGGATCAGGTGAGTTCCTTTGTTAGCCTAAAAGTGCTATATAAATGTAAGCTTTTTTTCTGGTGGGTGGGGAGGAAGAAAAACGGACCTGTGATTTCATTGGCATAGAGAATTTGAAGGAAATAAACTTTCTAGTCAAACTGCAAAACTTAATGTTTCCCTGTGTTGTCCTACTTCTACCTTCATACCTCCATGGACACATTGCTACCCCGACTGATATATCCCTGACTTTTCCTTCAAGGTCCAGTTCATGTGATACCTCATCTGTCATCCTCTCCATGATCCCTTCTTCCTTCATTTCTAAACTCTTTTACGTAGGTCAGCTTAACTCCTCTTGTATACTTAGTCATTTTCTAGTATGTCTTTTAACTATTTGTGTATCTGGATCACTTGATTGAATTTTTTATTTAAATTTTTACTTCTTATGCTTATATTTTCTTTTTATACCACTTCCATTTTTTAATATATCACTTCTCTTCCCCTACCCAGTGAACCTTTTTCTTGTAACAAAAATATTTTTAAACATATGAGGGGGGGAGGGGGCAGCTAGGTGGTGTAGCAGATAGAGCACCAGGTGTGGAGTCAGGAAAACCTAAGTTCAAATCTGGCCTCAGACACTTACTAGCTATGTGACCCTGAGCAAGGCACTTAACCCCAATTGCCTCAAAAAAAAAAGTTAAAGAAAGGATAGGGGAGAAAAATAATTTGGAAAAACTAATCAATACGTCCATTGATTTTGACAGGTGTTTGTAATATTCCATATCCACAGTCTCCTATCCTTGCCAGAAAGAAAGGGTGATAACCTTCAAAGCAAGGCCAATATATTTTTCCCCATATTTGTGTTACCAGTGCCTACCTCAGGGTCTTGCACATAGTACGCACCTAATAAATGTTTGTTTATAAAATTAAATTAAACCAAAGTTTTTTTAAAGATAATTGTCAGTGAAGATATAGGAGGCTGTCATGTGCACCAAAATAGTTACTTTAATGTTATCCTGGGCAGTTGTATGATTCTGAGCCCTACTGGGGGCATGGCCTACTGTGATTAGAGAAAAAGTCCAACCTGAATGAAGCAGGCTTGTTGTATGACATCACCAGACACAGAAATAGACATCTCCTACTTTA